ATTATCGAACATGGGAGTGTGTATTTTGTGGGAATTGTTTCGAATGATATTACAAATACAAGTACTAATATACCCTTCACATAATTTTGTAATAAATTTTTCTTTCCTTCTCCATCTTTCTCTTCTGCTCCCGCATTTTTTCTTCTCGTCACTCCCTCTCGCTCTCTGCTTTTTCTTCTGCAATTTTTCGCGAACAATCACTATGGAACTCTCTCTCGTTAATGCCGGTATGGATTTTTTCGTTTTTTGTCAATTTGTTCTTTTATTCAATTTGATATTGGTGGAGAAAGATTTTGATTGTGTTATGTGAATTCATCTAATTTTGTTTGGTTTGATGGAATTGAAAATGATAATTGATGCACTCTATGTGTTTGATGAAATGCTTGTAGGATTGAGTTAATGAAGTAAGAGAGTAATTGGTGCACTCTATATGTTTGATGAAATGCTTCCTATGCTACTTGTTGTATACTTAGAACCAATCAATTCATCTTCGTTATATATTACACTAGAACGAATGCACACTCGTTATAGTATCGCAATACTTATAACGAAACTCATTTTATGAGATAACGATACTTGTTTCGTTTTATATATTGATAGAATCCATTAAAAATCACTTAAATTGTAATTATAATGAGTAAAATATCATTATAATGTATTATATAGCAAAGGTATAGGTGTATTTAATCGACCGGGATGAAAATATAACCATAGCGAATGTACATTAATTATGTTGAAATCATAACGAATGTACTCTCGTTATGGTTATTTGGATGGAATGACGTGTTAATGGTTCTATCTTCGTTATATATGACATTAGGGTGATATTTTAAACTCGTTATATATGACGTGTTAATGATTCTATCTTCGATCTAAAAATAACCATAACGAATGTACATTCATTACATGTATGAGTTTTGATAAGCCAGTATTTATTCAAGCTTCAGTTTAATAGCATGCTTTAAGGTTGTTAAGTTAAAAGAATAAAAGAAGCTCGATATAGAATAAAAAATCGTTTTATTAGTATCCTTTAGAAATGAGTTAACTTATAACTTTAACGAGTAAAATATCGTCATAATTTATTATATTGTGAATGTATAGGTGTATTTAATTGACCGAGATAAAATATAACTATAATGAAGATTCATTTGTTATGGTGTATGAAATAACGAATGTACATTCTTATGTATTAAATTAAAACCAATAAAGCTCCTTGTTTGATCTATTTAAGTTCAGTGTTAGTACTTATTGCTTGTTTGATCTATTATGACTTATGTTGTCTTTCTTTTCTGTTTTTAGGAACCAAAAAGGAATATGCGTTTGATATAACTTCCCAATGCAAAGCAGTCCTGACCAATCGGTGCAACCTCAATGTTGTGAGTGAAATATTTGACAACCTAGACAAAGCACATAAAAATCGATTTGCAGAGTCTTGCTTCTGGCCACTAGTAAATATTCCCGAGTTCATAGTGTCCTCGCAAATAGTCCACCAAGTACTTCGTAGGACATTGAAAGCGTCCGAAAATGACAAAGATGGCGTGTGGTTTAGATTTGGGGAAAACGAAGCTAGGTTTGGGTTACAAGAGTTTTGTCTTGTAACCGGATTTAAGATTGCGGCGGATGATGAAAATGCGTACGAGGTCCCCAAAAATAACAGTCCGCTTTTGCAACTGTTCAAGGAGAAGCGGGGGACGATCAAACGCAGTGACTTACTCGAGAAATTTTCATGAGGTGAAAGCGTCCGAAAATGACAAAGATGGCGTGTGGTTTAGAATCTGAATGCTAACTACAATGCTGAAAATTTTGATTGGAAACGGTTGACATCTCCTAGCCAAAGTAATGGGTACGTATAATATATATTTTGATCATATTAGGTTTTCAAGTGTATTATGAAACTTGGTAAAATAATGGAATTTGTACATTTATGTTGCAGGTTTGATTGTGGGATGTTTACAATCAAGTGTATAAAATTTTTGCATGCTGGGAAGAATGTTGAAGGTGTAGATCAATCTCGGATTAGTGATTGGCGTGTAAAACTAGGCTGAAATATTTGGTGCTCATTTTGATCCATAGTTTGTTTTAAACATTTAATATGTAACGGGTTGTAAGGATCTTTTGGATAATACATTTTTGTGTTGTTTTTCATGTGTTTTTCAATGCAATGATGCGGGTAGTCGATTTTTGAAGTTGTATTTTTTACGTACTTCCCAATGCAATGGTTATAATAGTATTTTATCAAAATGGTTAAAGTTATTACTGTAACGCGAAGTTTTAATTTAATAAATAATGAAGGGGTTCGATGCCGAGCTCCCGAAAATAAGTTGAGGAACCGATTACAAGTCGTTTAAAAAATAACAAATGTACAGTCGTTATTTTGTCTAAAATAACGAATCTACATTCGTTATTTAAAAAATAAAAACATGATTGTCGTGGGCGCGACGTCCTGGCAACCTTCTCTGTCCGACCCAGAGTCGCTCCCGCGACACAGGTCGCGACCGCGACATATAGTCTTTTCATTATAACGATTGTACAATCGTTATTTTGTATAAAATAACGAATCTACATTCGTTATTTAAACAATAAAAATAAAACTCGCTTGTCGCGGGCGTGACGTCCGTCACGGCCGCGACGTCCTGGAAACCTTCTCTGTCCGACCCAGAGTCGCTCCCGCGACATGTAGTCTTTTCATTATAACGACTGTACAATCGTTATTTTGTATAAAATAACGAATCTACATTCGTTATTTAAAAAATAAAAATAAAACTCGCTTGTCGCGGGCGTGACGTCCGTCACGGCCGCGACGTCCTGGAAACCTTCTCTGTCCGACCCAGAGTCGCTCCCGCGACATGTAGTCTTTTCATTATAACGACTGTACAATCGTTATTTTGTATAAAATAACGAATCTACATTCGTTATTTAAAAAAAAGAAAAAAAAAAAAACATTCCTGTCGTGGGCGCGACGTCCGTCGTGGCCATGACGTCCTGGCAACATTCTCTGTCCGACCCTGTGTCGCTCCCGCGACATATAGTCTTTTCATTATAACGATTGTACAATCGTTATTTTGTATAAAATAACGAATCTACATTCGTTATTAAAAAATAAATAAACTTGCTTGTCGCGTTGTTTTGGTCGTTGCATAATAAACTAGTATTTTAACAATAGTCGTGTCGTTCGGGTCGTTTTGGAAAAATAACAATAACGAATTCAATCTCGTTGCACATATAACGAATGTACATTCGTTATGGTTGTTTTGCGACCAAATCCACCTTAAACGACCATGCATTCGTCATATAATACATTATAAAGATATTAAACTCGTTATAGGTCTAATTTTGGTCATTTTTAAGTTAAAATAACGAATTTACAAAGATATTACATGATCTTTTCATTTTTCAAAAACAAAAAAAAAACCAAGTATTGTTATTTCAAAATAGAGTTTCGTTGTGAGTGTTTCGACAGTCTAAAAAATTCAAACTATCGTTCCGATGACATGTAACATGAATACACAATCGTTATCAAGTAATTCGATCAAAAAAGCCATGAAGAAAGTGCGTTTGTGTCGAAAAACAACCATAATGAATGTGCATAACGAATGCACATTCGTTATGGTTGTTATTCGACCAAATCCACCTTAAACGACCGTGCATTCGTCATAAAATACATTATAAAGATATTAAACTCTTTATAGGTCTAATTTTGGTCATTCTTAACTTAAAATAACGAATTTACAAAGATATTACATGATCTTTCCATTTTTCAAAAACAAAAAAAAACCAAGTATTGTCATTTCAAAAAAGAGTTTCGTTGTGAGTGTTTCGACACTCTAAAAACTTCAAACTATCGTTCAGATGACATGTAACATGAATATACAATCGTTATCAAGTAATTCGATCAAAAAAGCCATGAAGAAAGCGCGTTTGTATCGAAAAACAACCATAACGAATGTGCATTCATTATAATGAATGCACATATGAATGCACATTCGTTATGGTTGTTTTTCGACCAAATCCACCTTAAACGACCGTGCATTCGTCATATAATACATTACAAAGATATTAAACTCGTTATAGGTCTAGTTTTGGTCATTTTTAAGTTAAAATAACGAATTTACAAAGATATTACATGATCTTTCCATTTTTAAAAAACAAAAAAAACCAAGTATTGTTATTTGAAAAAAGAGTTTTGTGAGTGTTTCGACACTCTAAAAACTTCAAACTAACGTTCCGATGACATGTAACATGAATATACAATCGTTATCAAGTAATTTGATCAAAAAAGCCATGAAGAAAGCGCGTTTGTGTCGAAAAATAACTATAACGAATGTGCATTCGTAATAACAAATGCACATTCGTTATGGTTGTTTTTCGACCAAATCCACCTTAAACGACCGTGCATTCGTCATATAATACATTATAAAGATATTAAACTCGTTATAGGTCTAATTTTGGTCATTTTTAAGTTAAAATAACGAATTTACAAAGATATTACATGATCTTTCCATTTTTCAAAAACAAAAAAAACAAGTATTGTTATTTCAAAAAAGAGTTTTGCTGTGAGTGTTTCGACACTCTAAAAACTTCAAACTATCATTCCGATGACATGTAACATGAATATAAAATCTTTATCAAGTAATTCGATCAAAAAAGCTATGAAGAAAGCGCGTTTGTGTCGAAAAACAACCATAACGAATGTGCATTCATTATAACGAATGCACATTCGTTATGGTTGTTTTTCGACCAAATCCATCTTAAACGACCGTGCATTCGTCATATAATACATTATAAAGATATTAAACTTGTTATAGGTCTAATTTTGGTCATTTTAAGTTAAACTAAGGAATTTACAAAGATATTACATGATCTTTCCATTTTTCAAAAACAAAAAAAAAATAACCAAGTATTGTTATTTCAAAAAAGAGTTTTTTTGTGAGTGTTTCGACACTCTAAAAACTTTAAACTATCATTCCAATGACATGTAACATGAATATACAATCGTTATCAAGTAATTCGATCAAAAAAGCCATGAAGAAAGCGTGTTTGAGTCGAAAAACAACCATAACGAATGTGCATGTTTTTCGACCAAATCCACCTTAAACGACAGTGCGTTCGTCAGATAATACATTATAAAGATATTAAACTCGGTATAGGTCTAATTTTGGTCATTTTTAAGTTAAAATAACGAATTTACAAAGATATTACATTATCTTTCCATTTTTCAAAAAAAAAAAAAAAAAAAACGACCATATCTACCTGAAACGACCTTGCATTCGTCATATATTACATTATAAAGATATTAAACTCGTTATAGGTCTAATTTTGGTCATTTTTAAGTTAAAATAATGAATTTACAAAGATATTACATGATCTTTTCATTTTTCAAAAACAAAAAAAAAACCAAGTATTGTTATTTCAAAAAAGAGTTCGTTGTGAGTGTTTCGACACACTAAAAACTTCAAACTATCGTTCAAAAGTGATATATGACCAACAACAATGTTTTACACGTCATTCCATAAAAAAAAATAAAACGAGAGCACTTCGTTGCGATTTTCACCATAACAAATGTACATTCGTGATAACGATTGTATGTTCGTTATGGTTCAGTTTCGATCAAAAATACCTAAAACTCAATATATAATCCATTACAAAGATATTACACACATTGTAGGTACAATTTTACTCATTTTTCATGCAACATAAGGAATGTACAAAGATTCTAGATGATCCAACCATTTTCCAAGAACAAAATAAAAAGACAAGTATAGTTATGAGTATTTCCATTTCGTTATGATTATTTCCACGCTCTAACGGGTCCAAAATATCGTTCAAAGGTGATATATGACCAACAACAATGTTTTACACGTCATTCCATAAAAAAAACCAAACCGGGAGCACATTCGTTGTTGTAACGAATGTACATTCGTTATGGTTGTTTTTCGACCAAATCCACTTTAAACGATCGTGCATTCGTCATATAATACGTTATAAACATATTAAACTCGTTATAAGTCTAATTTTGATCATTTTAAAGTAAAAATAACGAATTTACAAAGATATTACATCATCTTTCCATTTTTTAAAAACAAAAAAAAACCAAGTATTGCTATTTCAAAAAAAGAGTTTCTTTATGAGTGTTTCGACGCTCTAACACCTTCAAACTATCGTTCCGATGACATGTAACATTAATATACATGCGTTATCAAGTAATTCAATTGAAAAAACTATAAAGAAAGCACGTTTGTGTCAAATAAACAACTATAACGACTGTACATTCCTTATAACGAATGTACATTCATTATGGTTGTTTTTCGACCCAAACGCGCTTTCTTTATGATTTTTTTTTATCGAATTATTTGATAACGATTGTATATTCATGATACATGTCATTGGAACTATAGTTTGAAGGTGTTGGAGTGTCGAAACACTCATAACGAAACTTGTTTTTGAAATAACAAAACTTGTTCTTTTTTTTTTTTTTTTTTTGAAAAAAGGTTAGATCATGTAAACGAAGGAGTTGATTTCGAGATCCCGAATTAAAGCGAGTAACATTTTATTGATTTTATACAAAAGTTAAAAGAAAAAACAAAAAATAACAGGCCCACGACAGCCTATGCGTCGCGGGCGTGACGAGGCGTCGTGAGCTTCTGCAGCTCCATATTTCATGTCGCGCCCGCGACGTGTATCGTGCCAGTGATGTAGCAACTGCCACGCCCGCGAGGATGGTCGCGCCCAC